TCTAGTGTAAACCTAGTCCAAGAAGGCAATTATGGACACATTTCTGGAGACGATGTTTCCCGCTTTACATAAACTGACTGAAATGTTCACGGCCGTAGTCAAGTTGAGAGGATTTACTAGAGAGTGTCCAACTGATGAGTTTCTTTATTCTCCAAAACTATTGACTGAGTATTATATAGGTACTGTACGGAGAAGTTGTAAGTTGAACAGTCTTAAAGCAGACACACGTGAACCAGCTGTTCGTAAGAACGGGAAATTCTGATGAAAAAAAGAACAAAATGCAATGTTATTCTATATAAATAAAAGGGGAAGCTTGAAAAGTTTTCGAAACAGTTTTTTCTTTTATTGATGCAGTTGTTACCTTTTTCCCTGAAGTTTTAGTCATCCATCTCTTTTTTTCGGGGACGCGTTTTTTCAGCCTTACTCTTGGCTTCATCAGTCATACGATTAGAATACTAGACAAGAGACGTTATCTTGACCTATCTTGTTCAAGGGTAAGCAACAAATAAACAAACTCTTCACCACCTCATATCGAGCAAAACAAAAATAAGTGAATGAGCGAAATTAGAAAGTCATGTTGTTACATCTCAGTCTTTTAAGTAATATTTTTCAACTGATCCAACTTAGCTCTTTGTTGTTTGGGATGCTTGCATTTTTTTGTTTTGTTTTGTTTTGTTTCTTACTTCCCGTCTAATCAGTAAGACAAACAGGACTCTGGACAAATTATAATTAATATTTTGACAAAGGATGACTGTTTAAAAGCTAAATTTTTCCTTTCACCCTTTAAAAAGTAAGTATTTCAGATAAAAAATTCGGGAAATGATATCATCAGAATTTCTCCCCTCTAGCTCCTTTTTAATATACCTTGTTAGTCAGTAGAGAGAATTTGGTGTTATATCAGAAAACACCCCCAGCTGATAAGGTTTCCTTTTCTCATCACCTGCTTACTGCATGTTACATCGTTGCTGTGAGAAGATGTCACGAGTTCTGCGTTATTGCATGTTATAATATCATTAAATCAAGCATATACTCAACAACTAGTAACGAGCTTTTTAACATGCCCGCCAACTCGAAAGTTAACAACACAACACACATGGCTTCCCGTTTTCGGGGTGCTCATGCAAGTCACTCAGGGGTCCCTGAGAGGATCCCCAAAGGTTTCAATATTACAACACTGTATAGGTTCAAGCTATA